CACCATCCTGAGGCCATGAGTAGAAAAGTTCCACACCTAATTTTCTGTGTTGGGGCATAGTCAAAATACAGGTACACTCAAAATATTTTATAAGATTACCTTCAGGCTATGCGAATAAGATGTATACGAAACACAAGTGGATGTCATGTTTAGACTTGGATCCCAACCCTTAGAGATCTCATTATGTAAGTGCACATATTTCAAAACCCACAAAAGTCTAAACTCTGAAACGCTTCTGATCCCAGCATTCAAATAAGAGCTCCTCAACCTGTCTATGCACAGAAACTGAGTCTGTGATGGACAGAGGAGTAGAAGCCATGCTGACCTCTTCAGAGGAACAGGAAGAGAGGGGTCTAGATTACAGGAGTGATAACTGTGCCTTCTAACGAATTACAGATTTATGGCTTTTAAGAAGAGCTGCTAAATCAAATTTGGTTAACTAACATTGCCATAAAGGTGTTTTTAGGGGACACGAATGAAAAAAAAGGCAAGACCTAAATTGTACTTGCAGCGTAAGTTGTTTCATGGAACTGCAATTCCTTCCCCACATTACAGGATTTGGAACGAATCAGACTAGGTTGTGATGTTCAGATGAACATGGTGTGCAAGCATAGCAGATGGGGCACCTGTGGGCATAGTTGATCGGGGAGACAGTTTCAGCCACCAGAAAGAGTTTTCAGAAAGGCACTTTTTCCCATGCCTCTGTGAAGTGTCCAGTGTGAGCAGGAACTGAAACACAGCTGATGTAAACCGCAGAATGCTTATGCATGCACCCGAGGACCCTGCTATTGATGGCTCCTTTCCCACCTCTGGGGAAAGCACATTATCAGCAAAGCAGAAAACTGGTTTCTTCTCTCTCACGTTTGGCTGCCCGGGACATGGGAAATCTGTACTTTTTTGCCTTTCCCCTTGCTATTCACTTCTGGCCACCCAGTAACATCCCCTGTTTCTTTCTCATTGTGCTAAAATGCAAATGACAAGATTCTTCATCTTAACCAGTTTTTTAAATTTCATTGATACATTTTAGATATACATAATGATCACATTCATCATAGGGAATTTGAACCTGTACTTGATATATCTTGCTTTTTTCCCCCATTCCCCTCCCCTCCCTTCAATCCCCCTTCCTCTCCTTATTTACAAAAGCTTTGTTTCCATTTTTTCCTTTTATTCTCTTTTTTTTCTTGTCCCTTCCTTCCTTTCTCGCTCCTCCTCCGTTGTTCCCCTTCCTGTCTGAACATTTTCTTCCCATTTCCCAATATGTGTTATGCATTTTGATCCTTATTTACCCTTTCAGATTTCTTACATTGGAGAAACAGTGTGGTATTTACACATGTGTGTCTGATTTATTTCACTTAAGAGTATGGTCTCAAGGTGTGTCCATTTAGTTACAAATATCTCAAGCTTATCCTTCTTTATGGCTGAGTAGTACTCCATTGTACTAAAAAAACACACCTTCTTTATCCATTCATTGATGGGTGGGCATTTGGGCTGTTTCCAAGATTTAGTTATTATAAACAGTGCTGCTATAGATATGGATGTGCATATATCGCTGTGGTGTGATGTTTTTAACTCTTTCAGGAAGATACCAAGAAAGAGAACAGCTGAATCAAATGGAACCTTTAGTTTTAGTTTTTGAGGAATCTCCACACTGATTTCCACAGTGGTTGCACCATTCGACCCTCCCACCAGCAGTGGAGCAGGGTTCCTCTTTCCCCACAACCCTGCCAGCATTTGTTATTGGTTTATAACTTGATAATAGCCGTTCTTTCTGATACTCTATATAGAAACAATTCCTTTTACAATAGTTATTTCCCTAGTTTCTCTCTTGGTGAGTTTGTTATTTTTGTACAGGAGAGCTATTGATTTTTGTGTGTTGACTTTGTATCCACCTATGCTGCTGAATTTGGTTATTAAATCTAGAAATCTTTTGGTGGAGTTTTGGGGGTCTTCTATGTAGAGTATCATGTCATTTGCAAATAATTTAACTTCTTTCTTTCCTGTTCTTATTTATTTTATTTCTTTCTCTTGTCTAACTGCTCTGGCTAATGTTTCCAGAACTATATTGAATAAGTGTGATAAGAGTGGACATCCTTGTCTTTTAGAGTGAAAGCTTTCAGTTTTTGTCCATTTAGTATGATATTGGCTGTTGGTTTGTCATAGATGGCTTTTATCAGATTGAGATAAAGACCATCTATTCTAATTTTCTGTAAGGTTGTTATCATGAATGGGTGTTAGATTTTGCCAACTGCTTCTTCAGCATCTATTGAGATGATCATGTGGTTTTTGTCCTTGGCTCTGCTAACGTGGTGTATTACACTTATTGATTTGCATACATTGAACCATCCCTGCATCCCTGGGATGAATCCTACTTGGTCAGGATGTATGATCTTGACGATTTGCTGCATTCTGTTAGCCAGTATGTTTCTGAGGATTTTTGCATCTGTGTTCATTAGGGAGATTGGCCTGTAGTTCTCTTTTAGGGTTTTGGTATCAGAGTAGTGCTTGCTTCCAGGAAGGAGTTTGAGAGTATTGCTTATTATAGTCAGGATGGCACAGATCAAGAATTTATGCTTTCCTGTTAGTTACTTTTCTCTTGTTGCTAAGACAAAATACCCGACACCCAAAGTTAAAGGGAAAAGGTTTATTTAGCTCACAGTTTGTTGAAGTTTCAATCCATAGCCAGCTGGCCCCAAGGCAGAGTGGTACACAGCAGAGGGGCAACAGGTTATGACCCCAGAACACAGCAAAGGGAACAAGAGACTTTAACGGCATCTTTCTGCCCCTTTTATTCCGTCCAGGCCACCCGGGTTAGAGTGGTGCCAGACAAATCACTCACGTGGTTTAGTGATCACATGCTCTTAATTCCAGCCTCGCACTCTACATTCAGCCACCTCAGAAAAACCATGAAGCGTTGGGGGACATCTAAACACTAGCCATAACATCCCACCCCAGCCCCCAAAGACATGCACATCATGCACATCCCTTTATGCAAAAGGCATGTAGTCCATCTCTAAAAGTTACCAAAGTCCTAACAGTGTCAGCACTGCTGAAAAATCCAAGTCTAAAGTCTCCTGAGATTTAGGGCAAACTCTCAGCTGCAGGCCTCTGTACAAATGAAAGGAAAGTTACTGCTAAGCTGGGTGTGGTGGCGCATGCCTGTGATCCCAGCACTCGGGAGGCTGAGGCAAGAGGACCACCTCAAGTTCAAGGCCAGCCTGGGGTACACAGTGAGGTCAGGACCGGCCTGAACTACAAAGGGAGACCTTGCCTCAAAACACCAAAAAAAAAGAAAGAAAGAAAGTGACTTCTTCACTTAGCATCTCTGAATCTTTCCTAACTCTTCCCCTTCCCATGAGCCAGTTCCAAAGGCTCTTGAGCCACATGGCCAGGTAATGTCACGACAACAACCCCACTTCTCTGGTACCAAATTTTTGTGTTAGTTACTTTTCTCTCATTACTGAGACAAAATATCCAACACCCAGGGTTAAAGGGGAAAGGATTTATTTAGCTCAGAGTTCATAGAGGTTTCAGTCCATAATCAGCTGGCTGCAAGGCAGGATGGACGGCAAACAGGCATCGCAGAGGAGAAACAGTATGGCTCCCACAAGGTAGCAGAAGCAACAGGGGAACTTAACCGTGTCTTTCTGCCCCTTTCACCTCAACCAGACTGCAGGGATTACAGAGGCACCTGATCACTCACATGCTTCAGTAGTCACGCCCTAACCCTAGCATCACACACTTTAGATTCAGCCATCGCAGAAAAAGCATGAGGCTTTGGGGTGCCACCTAAACACCAGCCATAACACCTCCAAAGACCAAAAGAAGGAGAAACACTTAGAATTCAGTGCACTAGTTTTAGTGTTGTTTGAGCCGTTGGCAGGTCCTAGGACAGGAAACTTGCTCAGTGCCCTGAGAGTTCACCATGGCCTCCCCAGGAGACAGTGGCAGCAATCATAGCTAAAGGCTCAAGGGCATATGTGTGCCAGGTGCTGTTGTAAGCAACTTACAGACAGTAATCACCCATGGTAGACACTGCTGTCTCTATGCCTGCCACATTAAGCGGTGGGTCCAAGAAGAGGACTTCACTATCTGGAACAGGAGAGTAAGAGTAGTTAGTGCCAACCGGAGGGGCCCTCCAGGTGCTGCAGATGTTTCTAAAGTGTGGGTGGCACGGCGTGAGCAGAGTTTGTTTCGAGGAGAATTCAGGATTGTTCTAACTAATGAGGAAAGACGGGTTGTCTGCCCGAGCTAGAGCTGCTTTGGCAAGTAGTGAGTTCTTGGGACCTAGAAATGTTGGCTAAGCTTGCCAGCTCACTTGAGGACCGAGCAGGAGAGGGTCCTTTAGTGTCGGTCCCTAAAAGCATTGTAAGCCCCTCTCTGTATCCTAAGGAATCAAGATCCCCAAAGTGCTTTCCAACACTGATGCTGATAGACCCCAGACCATTAAAGCCTTAGGTAGGTAGATGAAGGTTTAGAAGAGCACCTTCAAATGCCTCAACAGCCTCTCTCTTTCCACGCCCCCAAGGTGCCATGCTCAAGAGTAACCATCTCTACTCTGGAGGGGCTGAGGTCTCTGGGAGGCAAAGAGGCCCCGGTCCTTTGCAGAGGTTGCCTGAGTCAGGGGTGCTGCAGTGACATGTTTCCATGGCAGAGCACAGGAAACAGAGAATCAGAGCCAGACCTCATTACCACATTCAAAGGCCCTGCTGGGACATGGCCGGCACCATGTCCACTCGCACACCATTGAACAAAGCGTATCGAATGGCACCGTGTGGGATGGGTAATCCCACCATAGCTGGGAAGCACAACCCACTCTGTAACGGAGGTGGTGTGCACAGAGCTTTCTGTACTGAGAAGGCCGTTAGACTAGATGACCTTTCGGGTGACTCTGTTCCACACTCTGGAATTATTCCATGACCCTCTGGAAGGCACTCTGCTGGGTGCGAAGTGCTGGCCTCTCCCCCCATTTTCTCACTGTCTTTTCTCCCTTTTGGCAGGTGGGTGGCAGGCCTGTGGAGCCCCTGCTCAGCAACCTGCGAGAAGGGCATCCAGCATCGGGAGGTGACCTGCGTGTACCAGCTACAGAATGGCACACATGTTGCTACACGTCCCCTCTACTGCCCGGGTCCCCGGCCAACGCCAGTGCAGAGCTGCGAAGGCCAGGACTGTCTGTCCATCTGGGAGGCATCCGAGTGGTCACAGGTGGGTGGCTGAGCTTGTTGCTGGCGCTAAGGGCCTCCTGGCCTTGTGCAAAGGGACCCCAAAATGGTACCTTTTGATCCTCAGTATCTGACGTGTCCCCACTATCACAGTCCTCACCCATCCCTAGGTGAGCTCAAAGTTGTGTTCTAGCTCATGAGATAACAACATGGCACGCGTGCGTGCGTACACACACACACACACTACACACAACACATTTTTGATGGTGCACATATTGACACCACAATGAAAGTACTGTCCTATTTCTTATGAAAATTCTCACATACAAATAGGTACTGACTGGCTTTTTCTCCTTTGAGCATGTTTGGACTGAAGGGTGGTCAAGCTGGGAAAGTTGCTTGCAAAGACTTTCTTTTAATGCCTCAGCCGTCTTTGTACATTGCAAGAGTCAGACGCTGGAAGGGACAGCTTTTGGTATGCAAGTCAGAGTTACAGATCTCATGCCATAGAACAGGTTGGAAGTATGTCAGTTAAACCTTCCAACTTTGAAGGCTGGTCCTGGAAATACCATTTCATCTTTGGTGAGGTCATCCTTCGTGGCTTTGCATTGACTTTACCTTAATGATCTTGATTGTCTGGCTATGAAACAAACAGAAAATCAGTAAATAAACGCCAGGCTTCCCTCTGGTCTTCCACCAGACGTGGTCTAGGAAACTCAAAGAGGCTAGATCCAAGACTCTTCAGTGTGGAAAATATTTTTAAAGTTCCCTCTGATTGCCAAACCGTCGGAATTATTTTGAATAAGAAAGTATTCAGCCCATTTTTAATGAACGAGATATGTGCCATTGGCTGCTCTAAAACTCGAGTTTAATTTTTAGAAAGATCTTGAAATGTACCCATTTATTTTTTTTATTTTTTTATTATTTTATTTTATTTTTGTACTGGGGATCGAACTCAGGTCCTTCTGCTTTTGAGGCAGGCAGCAGAACCACTGAGCTAAATCCCCAGCCCTAGAAATGTACCCCTTTAAGAAGCTGGGTCCTTAGCCTCTCTATGATATTTTGGGAAGAGGAGACAGCTGAAAATGTGGTTGATTTTTTTTTCTAAAATATACTTAGGTCTGTGGGTCTAACCTGCAAGGGAATCTTTCTGTTGTGCTTGAACAGAGGCAGGTCTACAGCCGTATTTCCTCTCCCGCTCTTCACATGAGTCTTAGGATCTTCATCACCTGGCTCGCGATCCAAACAAGATGTATGCTTTCATCAGATCAAGACCCTAAATATTCTACCCAGACTCTTCTGGGGCTGGGGGCACTAGCTTTTTACCAAAAGAACTAAACCTGAAATTATCAGTTAGTAGAGCATTGAAGATCACCATGGTTGGAAAATGTGAGATACCGGAGCAATAATTAAAGAGAGTTTTCTGTGACCATACTCGTGTGCATAGATAGCCCCGACCTTGAACTAGCATCTCACTTGTACTCATCCTGGCCCAGCCTCACCAGCTCAGCAAAATGCTGCGTTCTTAGCATTTATTATCCCTTCATGCATTGCTCACAAAGCTAGTGTTTCTGTCCCTTCACCAAGTGTTGAAGCCCTGCCAGTCCTCCTGAAATCTGGGTCTCATTTTCTCCAGGAGGGTTTTTATTAATGTGGTGCCTTTTATTCAGCCATCAGCACCAACTGTTCTCTCTGCCTGCCCACCCCCAGACTTTATTAGAAGGGAGATCAAATATGCAGAAATGAGCAAGAGGTATGGCTAAGTCTCTCCTGACCTGCGCTTTGTGGCCCCATCCCTGATGGGAAGCAGCAGCAGCCTGCAGCAGTGTCAGTTTCCACGCGTCTCTGTGCACCTGCTGCCTCTGCTCCCTGTCTTACCTCTCTTTCTCTGTCTCCTGTCTCTCCTTCTGCTCGAAGGCCTGGCAGTCTTGAACATCTGCAGGGCTTACACCTTACCTGTGATTCCTTAGGCCCTGCCTGAGTGCCCTCCACACACTGTCTCTTGCCCTGTCTTCCAGAAACCCGGCACATTCCTGTTCCCTGTCGTGGCATCCACACTAAAACATTTGTGGGAGCTGCCTGTGAGCAGTTGCTGCCTGCCTTAAGAGACAGTCGCTTGTGGCTTTTCTTTGTCTCCTCCTTCTTGTTCCCAAATCAGGGTCTTTGCCATATGTGCCTGCCGCCTGGCCTCAGTCCTCACCATGTTCCAGCTGGCCCTGTCATTCTATCTCTCATTTGCCCTTTGAATTTGTGCACTGCTTTGTATTTTGGACCTGATGACCGGCCACTAAAGTCCACTCTCCTTGGTCAAACTTTGGAGCACCCCAAATTCTTTTGAGTCCTGACTCCTGTGTCCCTCCCCCATCACAAGCCATCTGGCTGGAGTCTCAGCTGGGACTATCTGCATCAGATTCTGAAGACCCTGAGCTTTGTGGGGACAAAAACATAGCATCATCCTTGCAGACACCCTGGGTCCAATACACAGTAGGGACGTCATAGTTGTTGATGCGTTTGAGCAGAGTTGGACTGGATTAAACACCCGCATGGTGTCTTGCAGTGCTCGTCCAACTGTGGTAAAGGGACACAGAAGCGAACCGTGACGTGCACCAACTCCCAAGGGAAATGTGACACATCCACAAGGCCTAAACATGAGGAGCCATGCGAAGACTACTCAGGCTGCTATGAGTGGAAGACGGGAGATTGGTCTAAGGTGAGAATAGTGCACCAAGTTCTTCCTGGTGGTCCCAACCTAGCCAGGCAAATTCACTCTCCCAGCGTGGCACCAGCTGGTGACCCCACTTGTGTCTTTCCTGCCTCCCCCGCAGCTTGGGCGGACTGGGTGATGCCACTGCTTTGCATGTGTGCAGCAGGAAACCAAATGCAGCCTGAAGCACGGAGCTGGGGCTCTGGCACTACTCTGACCACACCTGCAGCACACTAGCGATGCCCTAGCATCCTGCCGTGGGCCTGGCCTCCCAGCCATCTGTTGAAAGAGCCTGTGAATGTGGGACCCAGGGCTAAGGCAGACACATTGCGGGTTCTTGAGAAAACCTCACCTCCATTCCTTCCTTGGCCCAAGGCCCGGAGGATTCAGGAGTTGTCACAGCTGTGGGGTCAGCACTATCAGGGCAAGGAGGGTTTGGTGGCAATGGGATGATTTTCAGAGTAAGAAATTCTTTGCTCTGTAACCACTCTTTTACTAATTTCCCTGATATCTTTGAATGGTTCCTATTTACTGGAGCCTGAGAGCCTTGTCACAAAAGCCATCCAAGGTCCAAAGAAAGCGGAGAGTGTTTCCTCACGGTCTGGAAAGCTCTCCTCATCTCTCTTACTCAAGGCTCGCTGACCAGTGACCTGAGGGCCACTGGTGTTTGCGTGGCTTGCACAATAATATTATCTGATGGAATTAACTGCTAACATTTAAAAATGGAAAAATGTGCACCCCAAAATTTAGAATTAGGCTTAACTACGAAAATCTAGCAACAGGCCCAGGTGAGTGATTTGGTTTCTGTGCATTGGAAAGCAAACTCATGAGATTCTGATCTTTGAAGAAATGCCACACCTCCGACCCAGAGCAGAACACAAAAGCCCCCCAAACCCTCTTAAGTGCAAAGAAGCCTCATTCTCAGGTCTCGGTTTGCCTGCTATACTGAAATACGGCCTCTGAAAAACAGTGAATTTGGGGAAGACCAAAACCACCTCCTTGCTGTTCACTCCCTGATCAAAGATCTGACCAAAGCCAGTGGTCCATTCTGTCCCCCACCCAAAAAAACAAACTCAGTGTCACACAGTAACGTGGACATGAAAAAGCTCAGTATGGAGCTGCTAGGATGTCTCTTATGCAGGAGGGGAAATGTGACTTCGAGGAAGCGGGCACTCTGGGTGGGAGGACAGGGCCTGCAGACATGCCCCTGGCCCTCAGGCTCGTGTCTTTATCTCCAAGATGGGAATCACGTATGCTGGGTGGCCCTGCCTATTTCTGGAGAAGTCCCAAGGTGCTGTGAGAGAGGATAAAGCATTTCAGCCGCGGAGCCTGATTCACTCCCACAGGCCACCACTCTGCTCCCCTGTGGGGTCCCAGTCCCCAGAATGCACCTGTTTGATCAGCTGTAACTCTGTGTCATCACTCAACCTTCTCGGGCTTGTGCGGAACAATGCCGAGAAGTGTTGTCTCCTGCCCACCTGAGTCCATCCAGGACTGCCGAGATTGAGGGAGCATAGAGGTGTGTTGTGCTGCAGTGGAAGCTCCAGCATCTCCCATGCAAGCAGCCTCTTGTCCTGTGCTGTCACCCACGGTGCTGTTGAGAGCGATGAGCCCACGTCCGGGGTTGGTGTGCCGGCCAGTCACGGCCCTGCCACAGGTGCAGTGCTGGGGCTGGCACCCACCCAGGGAACACGGAGCTTCCTCCCCGTCATCCTGAACCCGCCAAAGGCCAAACCCTAACCAGAGCCCTGCAGGACAGGCACATTTCCTGTCCCCATCCCTAACCGCAGCGGAGGGCATTACTCCTGCTGGGTTGTGTTTGCAGACTGACCTGCGGTCTCCGTCCCTCCAGGAATATTACCTTTTTCCAAAACACAGTGCCAGTCATTGTTTGGCCCCACCAAACAGTAAGTCTGTGTATCCGACCCCAGAGGAGGGGGCGCATAAAATGAGGGCAGTCTCATTTCTTCCTGGAATAGTATGACTTCCGATTAAAAGCTGAAATGTTTCAGATGTCAACACCAAAGACATTCGTTCATCACCCCTGAAAGGATAGGATTTTTCTCCATGAGAAATAAATTATTCCGGAGGGAGGGGTGGTAATGGATGGTGTCTAAAGGAAACCACTGTCCCTCCATGTGAAGAGTGTGCCCAGTGCTGGAGAGATCAGGGTGCTCTGTGACTGCCTGGCTGCACGGAGGCTGGGGAAGAGGTTGGTCTGACTGGCAGGGGGCCTCTCCAGCAGAACAGCGTTGAGAACCCCCAGAGGCTGTCTGACGGTGCAGTCTGCCTGGTAGACAGCCCGTGGAGGAAGGCAGGGAGAGCCCACTTCTACTCAGGTTCCCGTAGACATCCCATCCGTGCACTCCCCAGGCACTTCCTGGTAGACACGTCTCTGTGCTAGGTAGGAGATGGGTCCCAGGGCTCAGCCACAAACTGACTTTGTGTCACCTGATGGCCACTTACAGAAAGCTCTTCAGCCCCACTGCCGGTTCCCAAGCCTCGCTTGCCTTGGTGGGCCCTGGCTGCCAGCTGGGGTCCTGCTTGCTGTGGGCCAGTGGCCAGGTCTCTGGTTTAGCGAGCATTTTCTGAGCTGTCGTCCCATGCCGAACCATGTGCAGGGCCCTCAGGATCGGGGAGGGGACAGTACCCCCCCAGGCATAGGCCATGCTGAGTCCCCCAGCAGTGCAAAGTTAGCACTGTGGGACCTAGAGAGCCCCCAGCAGTGGAGGCTGATGCTTCCTTTGAGGGGGAATCTGTGACACTGGTCCATGACATCCATCTTTAGAATCTACAAAGCACTGTCACGTTTGTTATCTCTTGTCGTCCTCACAACCGTCTAGCCCCATTTTATAGATGAGGGAACTAGGCTCGGAGTGATGTGGCTTTTTTCTCCAAGATCACACAACTAAAAAGCGACAGGGATAAGAGCAGAGTCCCTGCTTTCTGACTTGTAATCCAGCTTTCTTCCCAAGTGCCATAATCCCAGAGGCATAGATTCCTAATTTGAAACAAGGAGCTGGGCTATAAGATGACTTCGCCTCTGACTATCAAAGGCACGTGCTCGTTAGAATCAAGTGTCTTTCTGAGCTCCAGTCCACCATTCCCATCAAAACCTGCTTCCCCATAGGCATAGGCTTTGTATCAATCATTTACACTTTAGCATAAATCTGCTATCACTATAGGAAACATTATCACTATGCTATCACTATGTAAACAGTAGGTCTCCCCTTAACTGTGAAATTAAAAATTGAGTCCTCGTTAAAGGAAACATACGACCAAGAGTAAGTCTGAGCAACATCAGGGCTGCTGGGGCCCTCTTTTGGCCCATGGGAAGCCTTCACTGCAACAGGGATAAGCAAATCCCGTGGGTTTCACTGGGTGGCACTCATGGGAGTACGAACAGTCAGTGAAGAAGGGTCGTGAGAATCCAGTGCTGTTACGGACAGGGCCAAGAGGGCGGGGGACAGATACCCCGGGTGTGAAATGCTTTCTGTGATCAGCTGAGCCTACCGAGGGGCCACGGGGCTGGAGGAAAGTCCGGGCCCAGTGCCTGCCCCACTGAGAGATGCGGGATGGCTGGAGAGCAGCAGAGTCCCGGAAGTCACCGGGAGAGGCCCCTTTGTGGACGTGCCGAGGCTCGCGGGGCTGTGCTGGGGAACCCAGACCAGTGGTCCTTCCCCTGCTCCCTGTGAGGGCATCAGTACCACAGCCCAAGCCCCCACCACTGCCCAGACCTGGCCGGGAGCCAGTGAGGCCACTGGCCCTGCTGGGCCACACACGTCACTGACCTTGGAGCAGGGACCTGGTGCTGCCATGGCCTTGTCTAACCCTGTCTGGGTGTCATCCCTGTCAGGTGAGTCCCGGGCTCCCCTGCAGTGGGCTGAGGGAGGAGTGAACAACATCCCAGTGTGGCCCTCACACCAGTGCCGGGCATGTAGCAAATGTCACTGTGCACGCCTGTGTGTGTGTGTGTGTGTGTGTATAAGGAAGCATTTTCCATTTCAGAGCTAGCCTGAGCAGTGCAGGGATGTTCATTATTGTTGAGACCTGCTATTTCAGGTTTCGACACCTTCTGTCTGAGGTTTTCATGGCTTATGCCAAGTCTGGGAGGAAAATGTGTCAAAAATGCCTTTGAAGAACTTTTGACATTTCACCAGCGAAGCGCTCTCCAGACACAAACAGAAGCGGGTGACTGCCGGTATCCCCCACCCCATCTTCTGCGAATCACTCCGGGAGGCAGTGGGTGCTTTTCTTGTGCACAGGGAGCTGGTTCTTCCCTGCCTCGTGACCCCATCGTGGACCCTGCCTGCCCAGCCCCTGCGCAGGGCAGCCTGGCCTGAACCCACTCAGCTGGAAGCAGAGGTCCTCCTGGCAGCATCTTCTTTCTCCTAAGATTCTCAGTCTCCTTTAGCTAATCCCACAAACACCCCATTGGACTCAGAGCTGGGAGAGCCCAGGGCAAGGGGGCCCCTGCATGGTGGAGGGTGTCGCCAGGGCAGTGATGGAGACCCCCCTGGGTGGGGTGCTGTGGCAGGACGGTGTGTGAGGCTACGGCTGCGTGGCTTGGAAAGAGTTAGGTGGATGCTCTGGGCCTCGACTCTGCCTCTCAGAAAAGTGGGGGCACGACCCCTACAGGTGCATTTATTGAGCACCTCCTGTGTGCCAAGCCCTGCCCTGGCCACAGTGGCTGTTCTCGTGAGAACTAATAAGACTACACATAAGGTTAAGAACATGGTTCACAGGCAGGTGGTGAGCTTTGTTGCCATGTCTGCTGTTTGCTGTTGTCTTTATTGTTACTCTAAAAAGGCCAAGCCAGGAATGCTTGCACGTTGTCTCGCTGTCACGTGGATCTGAGAAACAAGGGCCTTCCTCTTTTGTGCAGAAATCTCATCTCCTTTGGTCAAATCCCTTTTCCAACAGTCTCTTCCTAATTTGCATGAAAAGCATATTACCAAATCCAAATTGCATCTCCCTCCTCTTTCCTGTTACCATGAACTTTCTGCTCCTTGACCATCAAAATGTTTTTTATTTCACTGTGGTTTATTCGCTGGCATCTCCTCACCGAGTGGCTTTGACTCACCCTTCCTGCTCAGGAAGGGCTGGCAGACGGACACCGGCTGCTGTGTCACCAGGCAGGGCATGAGATATGCGCTCTAAGTGTTGCTCTGGAAGGGACGGGAGGGGGCTACACGTACTTAGGCTGTCTGGCTAGGAGCCTGAATTTAGGGTGACTTTATGGCTGCTTCCATTTCTGTCTCCGTTAGCTGAGTCTCAGGAAGCCACATTAAATGTTGATGGAATGAGCCACTTGAAAAAAGTACCCATCCACAAGAGTGCTTTAAACAGGACCAGATATGTTTTTTTATAGATCTGTTTGCTTAGATTGTAAAGCTTGAAAAATGGCTTCACAGTGATGCTTGGGGCAAAATGTGATGCTATCAGGAGATGCTGCATTCTCCTCACCATTTAATTAAAGCTGGTGCCGCTGGGAGCCCAACAGGATGGAATCCACCACCTGAGCCTGTGTTACCCTTAACACCAGTGAGCTGGGGTCCTAGGAGGTAAGGCACTGCGCCAAAGCCACCCCTTTAGTCTCCTCTGGAATCACATTGTCTTCAGGGCCAAGCCAGCCTCTGACTGCTCCTCCTATGATGGCATAGACAGCCTGGCAGCCCAGGAGGCTGAGGAGGAGACCAGGCAGTGGGGTGTCCCTCCCGGGCTCCAGGGCCTCCCTGGCTGGCTCTCTTTCGTCTTGGCTGTGCCTTTGCTATTGTTAATAATACCAATACCATAACTGTTGAGGCACACAGTTTCACAGACCCCCCCCCCACCGCTAGACACTGATTCCATGCTGTGTTTGCTTATGGAAAGTTCTGCAAGGAAAGCTTTATTATCCTCATGCTTCAAAGAGATGGCGGCTCAGATAGGTCCAGTCATTTGCCTTAGGTCACACAACTTGTAAGAAGGTTACCCCATCTCCGCAGGCCCTTCTCCCACCGCTACCACCACCTGCTCTCCACCCACAGCTTTCCCAGCACACCTCTGGGCAGGAGGATGTGTTTTGTGTGGGTTTTAGGTCAAAGGCAGGCTTGGCACCACTTCAAATGAAAACGCAGGGAGTGTGGAAGGTGGGCACTGCCGCTTACACCAAGGGGGTGGGCAGAATCCTCCGTCTTTATTAATGGCATGGGTAACCCTTGCTATAGAATACCTGAGAAGGAAAATTGGTCCCAGAAACCAGATGCAAAGATACAGTCCATTTTGAAATGGCTGCTTTTCCAAGTTCCCGTATAGACGTCCGCCCGCAGCTCATCAGCTGCAATGCGATGGCTCTTGCAACCTGTCTGTCTCCTCTCACACTCGGAGGCCCCCCTGCTCCTGGGTGGGTAAGACTCACACTGTCCTATGTTTGCAAAAGTTCCCCCAAGTGAACCAAAGCCATTCGAGGCCCTCAGCTGTGGGAACAGCACCCCCTAGGACTCCAGCTAAAAGATGACAAAATCTGATCCAGAAAAGCAAAATCCCTACCAGGAGCACTGGCCCGAGGGGACCCTCACCCCGCCTGGCCTGGCCCGGCCTATGGGGGCGCTAGACAGCACCGAGACCTGACACTTGTCCCTGTTGAGAGGTGTGGCGATGCCCCACCCGCCGTGAGCTCAGGGAGCAGTTCTTTCTATAGACTGGAAAATTAAAAACAAGTGATCCATGCTAGGGAAGCTAATGAGTAAATGGAGGAGCTGGGGAGTCAGTGACCTCCCATCAAAAGCCCGTCCCCAGCACAACCTGTAATTCACGCAGGGAGATGGAAGTCAGGCCGTGGGACGGGCCCGGCCGGCAGAGCCTGTCTCCCTTGCATGCACCAACTCTGCCCTTGCGCAAGACCTGGCTTCTGCCAAGTTCAGTGGGCAGCGTCAGCCTCAGGAATTGCCACCCAGTCGTGGAATCCCACGAGGGAGCCACGGGAAGCACCCACATGTGCTGGAGATGTCGCAAGTGCCAGCCTTTCCCTTGGCCCTAGAGCCCGTGACTGGGACCGAGAGCTTTCAGAGACGTCTGTTTTCAAGGTCGCTCTCAACACCTGCGTTTTACAGTAAGTCCCTGACATAAACATTCCAGCTGCAAACTTTCACAGGTGTACTGCGTAAGATTCACTGGTGGATTACACACGGATCTGACTTATCGACGTTCTCTCGGAATGGAACTTGTTCGTAAGTCAATTTTGCACTTGGTTTTGATAGACCCACAGGACTAAGCCCTTGTCCCAAAGGCCGCATACATTAATGATGCTGCAGAAGAAACCTAAACCCTTCCCAGCACTCGAGCAGCCCTGTAGCTGACTCAGGGTGACTCAGCCCGGCCGGGAGGGCCTGGGTGTCTCCTCTTTGGGAACCCACTGCCCAGCCTTGCTGCTCCCCTCTCGGTGAAAGAACGGGAAGATCCCAGCTCTCCCTCCTGAGTGTGTGCTTTTGCTTATGAAGCCCTGTCTCCGGGAGTAGGCAGTTAGATTCTATCTGTAATGAGCCCCGATGGTGGCCATTTGGGTGAGTGGCCTTTTCCCCAACAGCACTTGGACTACAAAGTAATGGGGAGCACTCCGCACCCCCACTCCGAGCTGAGAGAGGTTTTGTTCCAACATCAAGCAACTTGCTCTTTCCTAAGAATAATTTTGACAAAGTCTTTGCCGCTTGTGTCCAAGCACACCTGTCACCTATATATAATAAACACAGCGGTCAAAGCTGCAGCTGGATGTCATTCTGGCTTAATTATCCGTATCTGTATATAAATATACAGCTACTTTGTAGGAGGAAAAGAGAGCTCCTTGCATTCTATACCGGGCACTGGGCAGAAACTCAGCTTAAGCCAGGGGCTCTCGGTTCCAGCTGCCCATTGCAGCCACCTGGAGAATCTTTAAAACTGATGTCCACACACTGCCCCTGGACAGTCTGAGATATGGGGGTATTTTAAAGCTCACCAGCTAGTTCCATGGAGGAGACCCTTGCTTCCACTGTTGGAGCACCTGTCCCAAGTTCAAGGTCTTGCTTCTGGTGGGAACTTCCTGTGTGACCCCATCTCTCCAAACTCGGCACCCTTTAGACCTCCGTGCACTCTGATGCCACCCCCTGAGGTTGGGGATGGGGATGAAGCCCAGGAATCTACACCCGTAACGCGTGATGAACTCGCAAGGACATGAGCAGGCTCTGGTGGCTTTATGGGGATATGGAGCCAGGTGAGCAGCAGAGAGCCACAGGGCAGCTTCACCTGGTGGAGACAGAGCCCGTGCTAGTTTGAACATGCGGGGCCCACGGGGAGCTACTTGTATTTTGGCCACCTCTCCTGTGATTTGAAGATTGGTCTCCCTTCAGAGCAACTTTACCTCTGGATGCTTATCTTTCTAAAGTGAAAGCCTCAACGTGATCCTGCTTGTCGGACAAGAAAGCAGAGGGAGTCACTTGTTAGAAAAAGCCCCTTAGAAAGGGAGTAGACACTGCTGACTTGGGGCATGACAGTACCTCTAACATCCCCGTGCACACACACGGCCCTTCCTCCAGCACAGGCTGTGGCCCCGCTGCTGTGGGGGAGACAGAGGAAAACACATGACCCAGGCAGCACTTGGCGTCCCCACTACCACCGCATGCAGCATTCCAAGGACAGGCCTGCTCCCCTCTCCACCCGAGGTGCCATTATTAACTCTAGCTGGGCTGCTGCTCCAAGACCGGGGTTGTATTAAAGTTTGCAGAGTGCTCTCAGAACCCCATAAATCAGGGGTTATGGGGACGAACGCTGGGGATATCACATGAAGGAGGTGAGCATGTGGCTATCGTTCCCTGCTTGGGAAGAGAGCAGCATAGTGGGGAGACAGTTCCAGGAGCTCCCAAGAGAGTGAGCAGACTCAGGAGCTCAGGGAGCAGGGTCGGGGCGAGGACTTTGCAAGCTGGCAGGTCCTTCCTGGGAAATACAGTTGTGCTCCACTTAGCAACAGGGACAGGTAGTACTCAGAAATGTGGCATTGGGGGAATCCATTGGGTGGGTTTGCCATATGCAAACCTGGGTGAGCTGGGTCAATCACTGCACATGGCCTGTGGGTGCAACCAAGAAACCCTGGGAACATAGGATGCATGAGGCCGCTGCTGATGTGACATAGCCAGTACCAAAGCCATTTGTTACCAAGTGCTACATCCTGAACGTAACTGACTGTGCTGTTCTTTAGATACGGCTGGCAGGGCAGCAGGTTTGTTTATACCAGCATCACCACCATGTGACTGATGTATTAAGCTTTGACATCAGGACAGTTATGACATCACCCAGTGATAGGAAGTTATTAGCTCCATTAAAATCTTCTGGGACCACTGTCGTGTGTCATCCATGGTTGACTGAAAGGTCACGATGCACTTTAAAAGAACGTGAAGAACAGAAGGGAGAACAGAAGCACAGAACACATAATCCTTCACCCCAGTTCACTCCCTGGGAACTTGGGATCATCTGTCCAGCCACACTGACCTTCTTGTAAACTGGGCGTCCTGTGCTGGAAATGCCAGTAACTGGGGATTTGGTGTCAAAATTAACTGGTGGTCTCAAATATGAGTCCGGGACTCTGCTATACAAGAAAGGTTGCATTTTATTTTAACTTAATCCTTGGCCCAAACCTCCAGGCTGTGGGAAATCCATGACTGGGCCCCTCTCCGTGCCCAGGACCGGCAAAGGCTCCAGAGGCTCAGGCAGCGGGAAATGCTTGGGCGACCCCTGTGTTGATCAGGCCCTTCTGGGTCCACTGAACCATCCCGCCACTGTCTGGAGAGTTTCAAAGCCCAGCTGTGTGCTCAGAACCGGGGCAAGAGATGAAAGGCAACCAGGATAAATGGATATTTCAGTAGTCATCTTGTGTCTTAGCCTGGGCTGCTGTCACAAAATACCAGAGGTGGCTTTATTTCACACAGTTCCAAAGGCTGGAAGTCCAAGGTCCAGGGGCCAGGGAAGCTGGTGTGTAGTGAAGGCCGTCCTCCATGCTGCACACAGCTGTCTTTCTGTGTCCTCACGTAGTTCAGGGAACGTGCCAGTCTCTTTCCCTTCCTGCAAGGACACTAGTCCCAGCGTGAGGGTCCTGCCATCATGACTTCATCTAACCTGATCACTTCCAAATCCCTCCCTCCTAATACTATCCCACTTCAGGGCAGGGAAGCGACATGAATTTGGGGACAGGACCTAAACGTGTAGTCCCTGCATGGTGAAACAGTCTTCCAGCAGGCAGCTGGGCTCACTGCCCTGCAAATATCGCAGGCACTATGTGACGTGGAGGCAGGCGCAAGGGCAGCTGCACGGAGGGGCGCCCGCCCCGCCCTTCAGCTCAGGCTGTCCCTCTCTCCACAGTGCTCGTCTACCTGCGGGAAGGGGCTGCAGTCCCGGGTGGTGCAGTGCATGCACAAAGTCACTGGGCGTCACGGCAGCGAGTGTCCCACCCTCTTGAAGCCAGCAGCCTACAGACAGTGTCACCAGGAGGTCTGCAACGACAAGATCAATGTGAACACCATCACCTCCCCTCGCCTCGGTGAGTGCCTCCCTTGGGCCTGGTCTCCAGGGGCCCTGTGTCCCCGGGCCAGGGAGTCCCTGCTGGCCGTGGAATTTTGTAAGCCGGAAAGCCACCTTCTTGGGCTTTCACTGAGCCCTGGAGAGGCTGGCACTTGTCAGTTCTGTAGAAGAGCATTCAGAAGCCCGCAGCAGGAGGATCACAAGTTTGAGTCCTGCCTGATCAGCTCAGCAAGATCCTGTCTCAAAAAAAAACCCAGAAAAAAATTCAGAGACAGAATTTCACTGATTAAGGTAGAGATATTTGCTAACTGCAGTCTCAAATGCAGTCCCTTTAGCATCCCACTGGCCCCTCTACCCACAAAAGACAACGCCTCTGAAATGTATTAGGGTTCCTAGGGAACCCATGGGGAAGGTGAAGGGAGATGCTCCTTTCTGGAAATGGAGATCCTGGGAGTCGTTCAGTGGGCCCTGAGGACAGCCACGTGGGACACACGCACAGTGGAGAGGCTGCAGTTTCGGTGTAAGCAGTTGGGACCTCAGTGCTCAGGACCTGGCCCTTCACCTGTCCGTGCTCCAGGCCAGTGTGGGACAAGAGGAAGAGGAGCATTTAATATTGATCTGATGAATTCGTTTCATTTTCTGCTTTTCCAAACAGAAACCCCCCAAAACTATATTCCTCCCCAAAGCTCCTTCCCTCACACAGGACTTCACCCAAACGAAGGGGCTTCAGAGCACCTCTGTTGGGACTGACGGTGGCTTTGGGGCTTTGGAGAGGTGATTCATGGCTTGTGCCAGCATGAGCCTGCCTGGTGTCCTCCAGGGACATCCTGTGAGCAGGGCTACCTCTCCACGCGACCAAGACCCTGGAGGAGATGTGGGCCACTTGTTCACAGTGGACTTCATGCTTTTAGGGGTCCTTTGGTGTCCCCTGCTCCATAAATGCCAGCAGTCACAGCATCCTCCACCACAAGGGCCACTGAGTAGCACTGGACTCAAGCGAATCGATTTGATCTTGCAGGTTAGTGAGCTCTAGAGACTTGTGATACTTGCTTTAGAGAGGGTAGAGAAATAGTGAAGCAGATGGGGGAGCTCATCAGGCAAGGCAGACCGCGGGGCGGTCAGGAGGGTGTTGAATTCTGGGAACAACCTGAACAAGAGGTGTTTTGTGCACTACAGTGGGTTACGGTGGGTTTTATTTGTTCTCAGTTGGGAACTGAGGTTGTCAGCTTGAAGGTTGGAGAGTTTTGAGATGTTCAGCTACCTGTTTGGAGAGAGCTCAGAAATGGTGAATGGAGACTCTTAGGCTGCCTGGCCTGGTGCCAACAGGGTGGCTGTTCTGATTACCATGGGTGGGGCGGGGCAGGGCAGGGGCCGATTAACAGGTGACATGCTGGCTGGACTCGTAGAAAGAGGAGGCAGAAGGTGAAGAGGCTGATCTATTGGAGTGAACTCTATGCAGGTGTTCTGGAGCCAGAGGTCAGTGATTATTTGGGGGAGTGCCGTTGAGTCTGGGGGAGAGAAAGGGGGTTTGTATGAGGGAAGGGGTCGAGTGAGCGAATTCAGTGAGCCAGAGCATCAAGAGAACAGGTCGCTTTCTGGGAGAAACCTGCAGTCAGCACCGAACAGCCTGAAGGTAGGGTTTTGAGCAGGGAGTGGAGGGGCAGAGGAAGGAGAGCGTCAGCGTGCGCTTGAGGAGGGGACGCAGGTCCTGGAGTAACAGAGTCATCTATCGGGGAACGAGTGGGCGGATGGGGCCCAGAAGCAAGGGCCAAGCATGCCTTAGCTCCAAAGGCCTCAGACCTCTGGGCTGTCCTGGCAGGGTTCGTATATGGAGGAGGGTCAGGGGTAGTGAGTCTGGCCAGGGATGGTGCAGCTGACTGGCTGAGCTCTGGGAACAAGGGAAGCAGCAGAGTGAGGCGTCGGGGTCTTTGGGAGTTTAGGTGAGAGTAGAACGCAGGGAGGAAGCCAGGAAGAGTGCTGGGGTGTTGAGGAGTGGTTTGGGGGGAGCGACTGGGTCCCACTTGTGTGTCCAGAGTCAGAGCGCCCAGTGCCCACTGGGGGTTTGGAAAGAGCTTTGATAGATGAAGCTGGTATGGTCTGGCTGTAGGATGGGGATTTATGGCTGTTGGGAAAGTGGCTGAGGTATGGTAGGGGGTTCGAAGGCAGCTGTGAATGATACCGAGCCGGGAAGGGCACCAGGGTACGGGGTCTGCGGGAGGCCTTCTAAAGCAGTCTGGCCACAAGGCCAAAGTTGAGAGCCCAAAGACGGAGAAAGCCCGCTAGGCTGAGGAAGGAGAGGGGCTGCAGATTAAGACGTTGTTGGGAGGTGGAATCCGGTCAAGAGCATGGCTGAGAGCCTGGCAGAATAAGTGGGGGCTGTCCCTGAACCCTCGGGGAGGGCTGCCCGGGTGAGCTGAGCACACAGCCCAGCCGGAGGCGGGCTCCATGGGAGTGCGGGTGAGAAGGTCGTGGGAGCTGGGCGAGGTGAGGGACTGGGGAAGGCGGCGGCAAGAGAACGCTGGAGCGCGTGAAGAGGAAAGGGGGATTTGGGAAGATGTTGCCCAGAGCTGGAGGAGGAGATTCTGTCCCAGGAGGGGAAGGGGAGAGCTTTAAAGGTGCTGTCATGCAGGGATGAAGAGGCTGCCGGTCAGCCCCCCGCCAATATTAAAGTGCAGGTCCTGGGAACGTGGACAGAGAGGATTCAATGGCCGCGGTGCCAGGAGATAGGAGATGGACTCGCCCTCCACCAGAAGTTACCCTGGGCCCGTGCGTGGTGACCGGCTGGCTGTAGGTGCAAGAGCCATGGGACCCTGTCCATCTTTGGCTGGTAAAACAAGCCCCATGAAGTCGGCAGGGCAGGGTGCGGGAGTGGGGACAGTCCATCTTCCAGTGGCCCTTTAAGCTGCAGAGGGAACAGGGTTTGTGGGCCGCAGCAGATTTGGGCATTGCTTTGCCCAGTGCCCTGTTTAGCCACATGGAAAGCAAGGCCCAGGGAGTCTAGGCTTTTGTTTGGGTAACTGGCCTGGGGCGGGGCGGGGCGGGG